AAAAGTTGCGAGTCTCTGCCATTTTTTGCGCCATTTCATTAAGAGAAGGAACATAAACATCAACATCTTCATCAGACTCATTTTCCTCACCCTCGGCCTCGTCACTTGTTGCCATGACTGATGTCACTGATTCTATAATCTGCTCGTCAGTTAGTCTTTCTGTTACCGTTATGTCGTTATCAATTTCCACATATTCTTCAAAATTAAATTCCCCGATTTTCTCTTGCACTGCAATTTCAATTGCATTATCCACATCTGTGAAAATAAGTCCAGGATCATCTTCATGTTTTTTTAACCATTCTGTTAGGGGAAGCTCATCGTCTGCATCAAATTCAGCACTTTTTTCAGAAAATCCTCCATGCTTGAAACAGTTTGCTATTGTATCTTTGCTAACCTTTTGCCAAGCCATGTGAATAAAATTTACAGCATCTAAAATGCTAACTGAAAATGTTTTTCCGTTGTCCATAGCCTCTATCATCTGCGCGAGTAAAATTTTCCTATAATGGCTCTTTAATGAATGAATTACACCTTGATCCATCGGTTGTAATTTTGAACTCGTATTCGGTGGCATAAAAACTAATTTAATTTGGTTTAGTTTAATCTCAGGGTGAGCTGTACAGTTATCAACTAAAAGTACAATTTTCCTATTTTTTTGTTTTAATTGTTCATCCCATTCAAGCAGTTCATTTGTGAAAATTTCAGAGGTCATCCACGCGTTACGGTTTGATTTGTATTTTACGGGCAATTGTTTATTTTTGAAACATCTAGGATTGGCAGATTTGCCTATAACCAACAATTTCCTTTTTTCTGTTCCAGACATATTGGCAGCTACTAAAACTGTAATCCTCAATTTAGATAACTTTCCTCCAGCACAACTTTCTCCCACAAATTTTAAAGTCTTATCAGGAGTCATTTGATAAAAGAGCCCTGTCTCATCAGCGTTAAAAATGTCTTCACTGTCATAGTTTTTCCGAATATGAGGCCAAACATTAGTTAACCAGTCATTAACAACATTCAAATCTACTGCTGCAGACTCACCCACAATTTTTCCTGTTCGGATATTATGTCTTCTTTTAAAACGTTCAATCCAACTTTTAGAACACTTGAAGTCTTTGTTTTCGATTTTACTACCCATTTCATTAGCTTTTTCTTGTAGAATAATACCACTTACAGGAACGTTTTCTTGTCTTTTTTGTGTAAACCACTTAAGAAGCCCTTGATCCATTTCATGGTGCTTTGATTTTCTCATTTTTTTACACGTAGAATTTCCCTGACCATACGCTGATAAAATGGCTTCTCTTTGCTTCCATATCATAGAAACAGTGGATTTTATCAAGTTCATTTCCTGGCTAACATCGCGTTGTTTAACACCACTTTGTATTTTTTGTATAATATCATACTTGTCCTTTAAGGTTAGAGCTTTACGTTTTTGTTTTTCCATTTCGAACAATGTTATTACACAAGTAAGTACTTATGTAGCGCTACTTCGACACAGTGACCAAGAATCGACTGGCACAGAAAGCAAGTTGGTGGGGAAATGCGTAGCGCGTAAATCAGGGAATCCCCGAAAAGTTCATTATAAACGGAAAACTGCACTTTATTTTGAATAATATTTAGTTCATTTTATCCGAAAGTTCATTACAAGCGGATTCAGTGGTTCATTATAACCGAAAAAAAATACATTAGATATATGGAAAAAATTTCGTTACTTGAAATACAGTACACTATAGCCGGAAGTTCATTACAAGCGGGTTCATTATAACCGGACAATACTGTATATGTATACTTCAGAAACAAAACACAACGGGTCCCTGAGATTCTTACAAACTGCTTCATAAAAAAAAACACAAGGGGCCTCCGAAATTCTTTCAAACTACTTCAAAAACAAAGCACAAGTAGTTCCTAAGATTCTTTCAAACTACTTCAAAACCCAGATACAAGATATTCCCGAAATTCGTTCAAACTACTTGACAATCAAAAAACACAAGTGTTCCCGGAGATTCTTAGAAATTACTTCAATAACAAGAAAGGGATCCACGCGATTCTTTCAAACTACTTCAAAAACATGAAAGGGATGCACGAGATTCTTTAAAATTGCCTCATAAAAAACCACAACGGGCCCCTGAGATTCTTTCAAATTGCCTCATTAAGAAAACACAAGAGGCTTTCGAAATTCTTTCAAACTACTTCAAAAACAAAGCACAAGCAGTTCCTAAGATTCTTTCAAACTACTTCAAAACCCAGATACAAGGTATTCCCGAAATTCGTTTAAACTACTTCATAATCAAAACATAAGTGTTCCCCGAGATTCTTAGAAATTACTTCAAAAACAAGAAAGGGATCCACGAGATTCTTTCAAACTATATACTTCAAAAACAAAACACAATAGGCCTCTGAGATTCTTTCAAACTGCTTAAAAAAAAAACACAAGGGGCCTCCGAGATTCTTTCAAATTACTTCAAAAACAAGATAAGGGCTCCCCGAGATTCCTTCAAACTACTTCAAAACCCAGACACAAGGGTTCCCCGAGATTTTTAGAAATTACTTCAAAAACAAGAAAGGGTTCCACGAGATTCTTACAAACTGGTTAAAAAAAACCCAAGGAGCCTCCGAGATTCTTTAAAACTACTTCAAAACCCAGATACAAGGTGTCCCCGAGATTTTTTCAGACTACTTCAAAACAGAAAGGGTCCCCGAGATTCTTTCAAATTACTTCAAAAACAAGACAAAGGGTCCCCGGGATTCCTTCAAACTACCTCAAAACCCGAACACAAGGGGTCCCCGAGATTCGTAGAAATTACTTCAAAAACAAGAAAGGCATACCCGAGATTCTCTCAAACTACTTCGAAAACAAAACACAAGCACAAGGGGTGGAGATTTTTTCAAATTACTGCAAAAATAACACATAAAATCCCCGAGATTCTTTCAAATTACCTTTATTGCACAATAGCACAAAGGGTCAATCAATACATGAGTTAAAGTTTACGCAATTTTGAATTGTTTTGTAAAATAAATTAAAAATGGCTCGAATGTCAGAATGTGAACAAAAAACAAAACAAAAAAGTTTAATAGAACAGGAACGAATTTTAAAATGTAAATGACTTGTGAGGAAATTTGATACAAAAATACTGGAAATTAAACGATTCATTTTGAGTCAAAAATGAAATTTGGAAATCTCGAACAATTTCGATTTTGAAAATTTTTACGATATATCTTGAAACAACTTCGAAATGGGGAAAAACCCCAAAATGTGGAATTAAACTAAATATGAGACTTTCGTAATTTTTGAAAATTACTATATCTTACACAAGAAAAAAAAAGTAACAATAGGGAGAAATATTTCGCTTTATCCAAATCTTGAAAGTGATAATATAGAGTTTCCGGAATTTTGTAAAAGAAATTAAAAATGGCACGAATGTGAAAATTAGAAAAGTCTAATATAACCCCACTTTTAGAAAATGGCGGAATTGAGAAAACCTCACACGACCTAGTGTTAATAGGTGCATCCTTTGAACCTCCCATGACCTCAGTTTTTCCGTCTCGCTTGAAAAAACCATCAAGCCGTAATCTTAAAGCCTGCAAGAAACGTAACGGAAATAGACCCAGTGTTGGTGACGTCATGATGGCTTCAGCGGCTGTTGCAGGTGTATAAAAACTACCACATGGTTCGCGGAGGTGGAGGCACACACATGTACCAAATACATCTCCTTTTAATCACACTTGTACTTGTATCAAGTGGCAGATCTTCCATTCGTCGCCTATATTTATTTATAATCTTGTCATCTCGTGATTTATCGCAGTTCCTGTAGACCTCTTCAGTTTTGTTTTTAAGAACCGTTTGGTCCTCGCGTATTTTTTCCGAGCCCTCGGAACAATAGATTTCGAGAAGGCGTGCGCTAATGCGATTATTAAGCACTGAAATTTAATAAGCACCTTAAGAACGACCGGCAAAGAAAATAAACACGTCCCCTAGGGCATTAAATAAAGGTGTAAACGTTAAAAATAGCGCGGGGAGTCGTGCGAGAGCGACAAGGACGGAGCGAGTGTCGTTTGCACACTAGCTCGTGCAATTTGCGCAATCTTGATATTATAGGCAGTCATGTATATTTATATTCGGCCAAAGTTTTATAAAACCTGCTGCAATTTCGTATTAAAACTCAAGCCGAGCGAGGGGCTTTGGAAAGGTATCATTAAGACATTCCATTATTTCCATCTGCAGCGTTTGACTTCTTTTTACGTCTATTTAAAACCGTCCCGCACCAATTGCTCTCTTTTTTTCACCTTTTTATGTCACATCTACTCGCCGAGAGTTTTTAATCAGCGAAAGAGTTTATTTCTTTATTAAGTTTTACACCTTTTTAATTCCTTTTATAACGGAAAGCTCCTTAAGAGGAATTAACGAATAAAAAGTTGGTTTTAATTTTTTCCCGGGACGGGGGCGGCGAATTTTAAAAGATAGTTAAAAACAAAGTGATGGAAAGTTTGTCATAAGACCGTCATTATGCAAATCAGGGGTAATGCACGAATGACTAACCTAGGCCTGTCTTTATTTTAGAATTTTTTAAAAGAAAATCATATGCAAATTAGCAGTGAATAGACGGTGAATATTTTTACAGTGTTTATAATTCCCTTTTTATGGGCTTATTAGCATAACTGAATGGTGGAATGTTTTAATGTGGCCGGTTTTTATTCTTAAAGAAGTTGCGATACAACTCATTACGTATTTCTTAAAAACTCATTTTCGGCAAAGTTTTTATTGCCATAATTCAATGAATTGCAAATTTAATAAGCGCCACTGGATAACCCTCCAATCAATTAATTAAATTATTTCTTTCCCCTTTTTTATTCTCTCATCTATTCATAACTAAGGACGATTTATAGCTTTTTCCTCCATTTCCACCAAAATTACACCACTGGAAACTTGTCGATGCAAAAACACCAATAAATCCGAAAAACTAAAACATATCTTCAGTCCACTAACGCTGTCTGTTTTTTTTCAGGTACTCGGCCGTGCACTGACCCCTCATTATTAGACGATAGTATCAGCACCATCCATCATCAGGCAAAACACGGTAAAGCAACATACGTCTTATTCCGATTCCCGTTTAATTTAATGTATAGCGAAGTGAATACATTTGAGTGCGACTGACAAGCCCAATGTATCAGAACGGGGCGGCGTTTCACCGGCAGTCAATACAACAGCCGGAGACAGACCTGCAAACCGTTTTAAAAGTTGACTTAATGAAGGAGTCGCTAAATGAAGATAAATGATTCTGATATTGGATTAGCTTGATGATGTACAGTCTTTACGTGAAGCACCGAGAAACAATGATATCTCAGATGTCGCTCATTCCGACTTCCTCTCACTTGACTAATGCCGTTCGCTTTGGTAACGAACTGATAATAGCGGAGTTGGATAAATGCGCCAAAACAAACAAAAATACTGCACGGGATTGGAAATTCCAAGTTATTTCGTTTTTACTTGTACCTGATATTCGATAAAGAGAAAGTAAGATCGGAAGATCTCGGTGACCTGTACCGGTCAGGTCAGGTCAGGTCACTGATGATTCATTCGTAAACTTTGTGTGACGCCAATTATTAAGAAAAATGTGTTTGTTATTTGCCTGTGAGCTTTAGAGATCGTTGATTCGTGAATATTTCTATGATACTAAATTAATTGAAAAAAGAACATTCACTATGCGAGTGCAGCGAGCACATGTATGTGTTGTTAACAATAATTCCCTGCTGTCCCTGAGAAGCGAAATTATTTAGAAAAAATATATAGTAATCGTCAACTATTCAAAAACGCGAGCGCAGCGAGCACGTTCAGGTGTAATTTAAAAAAATATTCATTTCTGTCCCCGAGAAACTAAATTATTGAAGAAAAAATTGTTTGTTATTATTAAATTGTGAGTTTAAAGATGTTTGTGATCAATATAATCTCTGTAGGACTGAAATATCCTGAACGTGCTCGCTACGCTCGCCTTTTTGGAGAATTTTTTGGTGTCTTAAAAAAGTGAGTCTTGAAAATGTTTGTGAACGCTATCTGACTGTCCTCGCTGCGCCCGCTTACTATATGTTTGTTTTTTTTTTTTAAGTAAAACGTCTGCTTATTGGAAAAAACTTAGACAGCTTCTCTGAGAGTCTTTCTTAATCAGTCCTATGAGACTAACTTCCAGAAAAAGAATGTTGACATCATCTCAAAATTTTACTGAATAAGTTCTCAAGTCATCACAAAATTGTGTAAAGAAAAAACTCTACTCGAAAATGCTGAACATGTTTCAGTGTAACCTAAGTTCGAGGGAAGTTCTGTTGAAAAAATGTTCGACCAATTTTTGTAATCTTATATTAGAGGCAATCCTGAATCAAACCTGTTAAAATTTAAAGATTGTTAAAAATGAACAGCCTTTCAGATTTAGGAATTTAAGTCGATACTATGGAAACTTGCAATTTAATATCTTTTAAATTTAACAAGTTTGATTCAAGTTTAATAGGTGTAAAATCAGTCATATCTTAACAAGCACTAGCAGCCTTTGAGAAAATAGCGGGTGGGTGGGCGGGGCTAGTATTTCTTAAGATAAGTCTTATTTTGTCAAATGACACGTATTCTGAAAAAACACTGGGCTAAGATCTGACATGTTTTTAGTAAGTGAGTTTATACAAGATTAAAACGGGAAAAATCAGTTTTATGCTAGCAAGTACTACCCCGCCCACCCACCCCTATTTTCTCAGAGGATAAGTAATTTGCCAAAATATATCCTATCTTAACAAGTACTAGCCCCGCCCACCCGCCCCTGTCTTCTCAGGGGATAAGTCATCTGCCAAAATATGTCATATCATAGCAAACGCTAGCCCCACCCGCCCACCCCTATTTTCTCAGAGCATAAGTTATTTGCCAAAATCAGTCTTATCTTAACAAGCACTAGCACCCTTTGAGAAAATAGAGGGTGGGTGGACGGGGCTAGTATTTGTAAGATAAGTCTTATTTTGGCAAATGACATGTCCTCTGAAAAAATAGTGGGCGGGTGGGCGGGCTTAGTACTTGCTAAGAAAAAGCTGATTTTGCCAGTATTAATCTTGTAAAAACTACTTACTAAGAACTTGTAAGATCTTAGAAAGTACTACCCCGCTCACCTGCCCCTATTTTCTCAGAGGATAAGTCATATGCCAAAATATGTCCTATCTTAGCAAGGACTAGCCCCGCCCACCCGCCCCTGTCTTCTCAAAGGATAAGTCATTTGCCAAAATATGTCCTAACTTAGCAAGTACTAGCCCCGCCCACCCACCCGTATTTTTTCAGAGGATAAGTCATTTGCCAAAATATGTCCTATCATACCAAGCACTAGCTCCGCCCACTCACCTCTATTTTTTCAGAGGATAAGTCATTTGCCAAAATCAGTCATATCTTAACAAGCACTAGCAGCCTTTGAGAAAATAGCGGGTGGGTGGGCGGGGCTAGTATTTCTTAAGATAAGTCTTATTTTGTCAAATGACACGTATTCTGAAAAAACACTGGGCGGGTGGGCGGGGCTAGTACTTGCTAGCATAAAACTGAATTTTCCCGTTTTAATCTTCTATAAATTCACTTACTAAAAACATGTCAGATCTTAGCAAGTACTAGCCCCGCCCACCCACCCCTATTTTCTCAGAGGATAAGTAATTTGCCAAAATATATCCTATCTTAACAAGTACTAGCCCCGCCCACCCGCCCCTGTCTTCTCAGGGGATAAGTCATCTGCCAAAATATGTCGTATCATAGCAAGCGCTAGCCCCACCCGCCCACCCCTATTTTCTCAGAGCATAAGTTATTTGCCAAAATCAGTCTTATCTTAACAAGTATTAGCACCCTTTGAGAAAATAGAGGGTGGGTGGACGGGGCTAGTATTTGTAAGATAAGTCTTATTTTGGCAAATGACATGTCCTTTGAAAAAATAGTGGGCGGGTGGGCGGGCCTAGTACTTGCTAAGAAAAAACTGATTTTGCCAGTATTAATCTTGTAAAACCGACTTACTAAGAACATGTCAGATCTTCGAAAGTACTACCCGCTCACCTGCCCCTATTTTCTCAGAGCATAAGTCATTTGCCAAAATATGTCCTATCTTAGCAAGCACTAGCCCCGCCCACCCGCCCCTGTCCTCTCAGAGGATAAGTCATTTGCCAGAATATGTCTTATCTTAGCAAGTACTAGCCCCACCCACCCACCCCTATTTTCTCAGAGCACAAGTCATTTTCCAAAATCAATCTTATCTTAACAATTATTAGCACCCTTTGAGAAAATAGAGGGTGGGTGGACGGGGCTAGTATTTGTAATATAAGTCTTATTTTGGCAAATGACATGTCCTTTGAAAAAATAGTGGGCGGGTGGGCGAGCCTAGTACTTGCTAAGAAAAAACTGATTTTGCCAGTATTAATCTCGTAAAAACTACTTACTAAGAACATGTTCGATCTTAGAAAGAACTAGCCCGCTCACCTGCCCCTATTTTCTCAGAAGATAAGTCATTTGCCAAATAGGGCCTATCTTACCAAGTACTAGCCCCGCCCACCAATGGCAAATGACATGTCCTCTCAGAGGATGAGTCATTTGCCAAAATATGTCCTATCATAGCAAGCACTAGCCCCGCCCACCCACCCCTATTTTCTCAGAGCATAAGTTATTTGCCAAAATCAGTCTTATCTTAACAATAATTAGCACCCTTTGAGAAAATAGAGGGTAGGTGGATGGGGCTAGTATTTGTAAGATAAGTTTTATTTTGGCAAATGACATGTCCTTTGAAAAAATAGTGGGCGGGTGGGCGGGCCTAGTACCTGCTAAGAAAAAATTGATTTTGTCAGTATTAATCTCGAAAAAACTACTTACTAAGAACATGTTCGATCTTAGAAAGTACTGGCCCGCACACCTGGCCCTATTTTCTCAGAGGATAAGTCATTTGCCAAAATATGTCAGATCTTAGAAAGTACTAGCCCTGCCCACCCGCCCCTGTCCTCTCAGAGGATAAGTCATTTGCCAAAATATGTCCTATCAGAGCAAGCACTAGCCCCGCCCACCCGCCCTCTATTTTATCAGAGGTTATGGCATTTGCCAAAATCAGTCTTATCTAACAAGTACTAGCACGCTCTGAGAAAATAGAGGGTGGGTAAACGGGGCTAGTACTTGTTAAGACAAGTCTTAATGTGGCAAATGACATGTCGCCTGAAAAAATAGTGGGCGGGTGGATGGGGCTAGTACTCGGTAAGATAAAACTGATTTTGCCCGTATTAATCTTTTAAAAACGTACTTACTAATAACATGTCAGATCTTAACAAGTACTAGCACCTTGTGAGAAAATAGAGGGTAGGGCTAGTACTTGTTAAGAGAAGTCTTATTATGGCAGATGACATGTCCTTTGAAAAAACAGGGGGTGGGTGGGCGGGCCTAGTACTTGGTAAGATAAAACTGATTTTGCCCGTATTAATCTTGTAAAAACGTACCTACTAAAAACATGTCAGATCTTAGCAAGTATTAGATATGCCCACCCGCCCCTATTTTCTCAGAGGGTAAGTCATTTGCCAAAATATCTCCTATCTTAGGAAGTACTAGCCCCGCCCACCCGCCCTGTATTATATCAGAGGTTATGGCATTTGCCAAAATCAGTCTTATCTTGAGAATACTAGCACGCTCTGAGAAAATAGAGGGTGGGCGGGCGGGCCTGGTACTTGTTTAGATAAGTCTTATTTTGACAAATGACATGTCGCCTGAAAAAATAGGGGGCGGATGGGCGGGGCTAGCACTTGGTAAAATAAAACTGATTTTGCCCGTATTAATCTTCTAAAAAAAATTACTTACTAAAAACATGTCCGATCTTAGCAAGTGCTAGACCCCCCAACCACCCCTATTTTCTCAGAGAATAAGTCATTTGTCAGACACAAGGGGTGGAGATTTTTTCAAATTACTGCAAAAATAACACATGAAATGCCCGAGATTCTTTCAAATTACCTTTATTGCACAATAGTACAAAGGGTTAATCAAGTTAACACAATACAAAACTTCCAAAAATGTCGATTTTTAAAATTTTTAAAACATTAAGATGAAACA